GCGCCAGGCCAGCCAGACCGGTGCCCGGGGGGGACACCAACTTGGTAAGTTGTTGCCTGGGTGCTTGCCTAGTTGTCACGAAGTGCCACGTGTCGCAATTTCACTGGAGGGCCAAATCTGCCCTCATCAGGTTTCACACTGGTCAATTGGTCATAATTCATTAAAGGCAGTATCACATGTTGGGGATCAATGCTTATTTCTTATACAGAATTTCAATGCTTATTTCTTATACAGAATTTTGTTGGCCTTATAAAAAATTTCAAGCCCTAAATTACTCAAATCTGCAAGTAGATCTGTTCATGGGCTGGGCCTGGCTTTACCTCTTTAAAAACAGAAAAATACTAAGCCCAAGCCCAAAACCAGAYTTTGATAAATTGATAGGTATTTTATAACATATTATTAATAATATATAATATATAACACTTTTTCTGCTATTAATTTTATTATTAATATATATATATATATATATATATATTATATTTCTGTTATATATTTATTATTATCAAACCAAACTTATTTGGGAAAGCACAAGCCCGACGCAAAAAATAGTCAGGCCTGGCTTTTAGAGTCCAATTTAGGACAGGCCAGGCTGTCAGGCTACCCGGCCCATGAACAGATCTATCTGCGAGTGTTATTCCAGTAACCCTCTGATTTCCATAGTTCAATATATTTTATTCATGATATACAATATCAGCCTTTTTTTTTGTTCATTTTAATACCAATACAATGTTTTAGCCATTTTCGGTTTAATTTATTAATGCTATTAAATATCCGATTGCAAGCCAAATACGATTCAAATCTGATATAAACCCCATGGATAAAATTCAAATCAAATTAAGAACTACCTAATATCCGATTCAATCCGATCCATTTGTACCCTGTTTCTAGTTTTTATACCTACCTAGTTTGAATTCGTTGCGGGTCCAGCACAGTGAGTTCCGTCCCACCGACCTAAACAGCCATCTAATACGGATCCAACTCAACTACCGAATTTTCGAGCTACGTCTACTGCGAGGAGCACGCGAATCCAGTGTGACCCCAATCCATGATCCAACTAGTGTCGCAAATTACAAGCAGCAGGCCAGCTGCTTTGTCACACGCCCATAGTTTACAATGTAGAATATAGTCGATGGGTTTATCCAGCGTCGACACGACATAGTATTATTAGCCATTTGTGTTAGGAGAGTTAAGCAGACCGATCGTCATTTGCCCTTATTGATTGGTACTTGATAGCAAGCGCAATTAGAAAGCCCCAATTAAGATTATTCGAGCCAATAGGGGATCGCCCAGGGTCAGGGCCATCGAAATCGAATGCTTGTCATTGCCCATATTAACGGCATCTTAATGGATATGGACTTTCTTTTGTGGATTTGTTTCAACTTTCAAGCATTTTTCTTGAATCAGCATAAATATATATTTATTTACATTAAATTCTACTGGTCTGGAATTGGGGCTTACAATCATCCCCTCTCCATGACATAGCAAGCTAAGGGGAGAATGGAGATTAGCCCAGGTGGCTCTGGCTACAACTACAACTACAACTACAAGCATCGCAAAGATTTAAAAAAAGAAAATAGAAATAGCCATCCCATTAAGGCTGTCCCCCATTTTCATCCCTGTACAAGTTTTCTGGTAAAAGGAGTTGGCAGATCTCATAATCCATCCCAACAAGCTGTACATTGTAGATGCCACGGATTTGGCTCCTTTTAATTTGTTGATGATGCATATCTGGAGTGTTGGGTGCTCCTCCCTCAATCTCAATTCTCTCAGATCTCAAACGGAGGCCCAACCTGGTGCCCCAGAGAAGGGCTGGGATCCTAGCTCTAGTGTGATCCCCTTCTCCGGTCTGAATGTTTGGAAAACTGGAGTAGGACTTGGATATAATGAATGTGAAGTAGTTTCAGATATAAACAAAAGAGCAGTTTTAACTTTTAAGCACATACGTCAATCAGGACCACGTTAAATTTACACATCAATTAATCATCGTAGAATGGGGAATAAATCTATCCACACATTTTTCCAATATATATAATATTGGGGCAATGGGGAATTCAGGAGAGAGGAATAAGGAAGTCTAACGTGCCTAGTAGAGTCAGAGATCTCCCCACTAAACTCCCAAATTGTACAGTGTTAGAAAAACAGCAAAGCAATCACAGGATAGAAATTTTAGACTACAGCAATATGACAATCCTGTTTCCAGTTATAACTGTGGTAATTGGAGCTGAGAAGGAGAACAAGCCACGAATAAGATTTTTTGATTCAATCAATGCCCAAGCTGGAATAGGGTTCAAATCCACCCTGACAACAGTAAAAAAGAAAAAAAACAAAAATCCAACATGAAGCTACTCTCAGTGACACTGATTTGCAATATCTATTGATTAAAATTCATGTAAAGATGTTCTAGACCACTAAGAGTAAGATGAACCAGATTAAAATCTGGTTCTATGTAGGAATTGGACTGAGAAATAGGAAGAAGGGAAAGCATGATTCGTACAAATCTGAGTTTTATAAATGGACAGAAAACACACAAACAGGTCAAGAGACTTCTCAATTTGACAAAATCAACATTCTACTGGAAAGAGTGGAGAGAAACCTTGATAAAGAAAGGATATGAAGAAGGGCATTAAGGAAAGAAGTGGCTTCAGTGGTTAATAATAGCCATTTGTGGATTTGGAAAAAGCTAATGCCATTAATTATGTTAATAATTCAATTTTACTGAAAAATGCTACTCACAGAGCAGTCATCATGAACACGCCAAATTGTCTCGCCCAAAAGGTTTGCTACTGACAGAACAGTGAGCTGAGGAAAGTAGTTCTGTTCCATCACTGGAATGGTATTTGTGATGATCACCTCTTGAAACAACCCACTTGACAACCTCTCAATAGCAGGAGGACTGCAAGGAAAATATAAAGACTAGATCATAAGCATCGTGAGTGACAACAAATTGATGCATGGATTCCATATTATGTAAGAGAAATAACCTAAATCCAAAGTCTGGAATTTAATGGTAATAAAAGGAAGCATCATTTTTCTGATGTTTCTTTTGGCTAGTTGATGAGTAATTTATCTTTTAGATTATAACTACAATTTAGAATGGATAAAGATAGATATTAGCACTGCAACAGAACCAAGTGACTACTCCATAGTTGTACAGGGAGATTCAACCTAATTGGATGACCTTCACCATCCAATACTATCCTGTTGAAAAGAGAAATGGAGATCAAATACATGACCAAACTTGTTTTTTGATAGGAAAACTACTTTTTTTTTTCAGAAATACCAAACTATTAATTACTCCTAACAGTTTCCTGAATATGATCAGTTGTTACTGTTGAACTTAGAATTTAACAGTAACTGATTTCTGGATAGAATTCAAGTTCTCGGACATTGCAATGGAACTTTTCAAAAGAAGTGCATTGAGACTTCCCCTACTCATGATCATTGTAAGCCACATTGCAGTTTCAAGATTTTATGCAGAGCAAAAGGTAGAATTGACAGAAGGTCAAGTCTCTTCCATGTTCTCCAGGACTTCACCAATAATACTGGATTTAACCATTCCCATAAAAAACACAATTTTGGCACAAACCAAAAGTTATATACAGCAAAAGCAAAGGCTTGGGAGAAATTTGGTACCTAAAAACAGCATGTGTGGTGCATGCATAGACTTCTCTTGCCCCTTCTTGGTGTAACAACTCAGCACCTTTTGCAATAGTCCCTAATGTTGTCCAGGCAAACAAGTAATAAAATTAAATAAAACAAGCTTATAAGAAAAACAACTATACCAACAACAATCAAGCGGTTAATACTAGCGTTAGAACAAATTCAGCACAAGTTCACCAGTTGATGTCCTGGGGCCTAAAATGCACAATAAAATCAAACTTGCCTGATCTGCATCAGGTATGAGCAGATAGATCTATTATTGATAAGCTAAAACTACCAACTCAAGTTTACAAAGCAAATTAAATGGATGCAATGATGATTTATGTACAGCAAATATGGTGATGTATCATGCACTGCTAGTAGCATTATCTTGTTGCACTATTGCACATAGAAAATCCTTGTTTAGAGTCAACTCACCAGCAGTGTCAATCATGTCATCCACCATAACAGCTACTTTTCCTTTAACATCACCAATAAGATTCATCACCTACAAAATAATATTCAACAATAAATTATATAGCCTACAATAAATTATAGTTTTTGTTAAGACTTTAGAGAAAATGGCAGCTTATTTGCTTTGAAACCTTTGCAACTTAACATATGTTTGATTTTAACAATAAATTATAGTTTGCGCATTAAAAAAAGATCTCTAACAGTTAAACTTTACTATTTTATCATTGTGCTCTACTGATAAACTTCTATAGCCTACAAGAAAGTTATGAAGCAGATTTTTCATATCTATCATTAAAATATTTTGAGTGGATTTTACCTCGGCAACGTTGTGCCCATGACGCCTTTTATCCACAATAGCTAATGGGGCATCAGATAATTTCTTAGCAAAAGCACGTGCCCTAGCAACACCTCCAACATCCGGTGAAACCACTACCAAATCATCTGAACATATGGTCTTGCTGGCTAAGTAATCAAGAATTACAGGCTAAAGGCACAGAGAATGAAATAGCAAACTATCAGTCAAAAATTCAACTTGAAATGAACACTTTGAATAAGTAGATGACATAATGAAGCTCTGAAGAATGAAATCAGCTGAAATGTAGGGAAGACGTATTAATTACCTGACCATACACATGATCCACTGGAATATCAAAGTAACCCATGGACTGGCCCGAATGAAGATCACATGCAAGAACACGGTTTGCACCTGCTTCTGTTATCAGGTTTGCCACAAGTTTGGCTGCAATGGACTCACGACCTTGGGTCTGGAAATATAAATTCAGATGGAGTGATAAACCACAGTGCTATCATGAGCAAGCTTCTATCAACTTATTAAATTGTAAAATTAAAAGAATAATTCCAGTTACAAAAGTTATCTTCAGGCTAAGATAGCTACTGGCATCAACAAAGAGGTTGGTAATTCAATGCTTCTGAGAAATATATTTTTTTAATTGGAAAAAGAAAGATAATGAGATCTCCAAGATCAAACATCAACATGATCATAAAAATCCAATTAATTGCACTTTCAAAAGAAGGATTTCATAGAATGAATATTTTTTTGCCTATGTATAGCATATCCATATTTGATATTTAAACTATGAATTATGGATCAAATTTATCTTTTTTCTACCCAAGAAGCAGGAATTACCTTTCTATCAGCCCTAGCATATCCAAAATATGGGATCACAGCAGTAATATTTTTGGCAGACGCCCTCCGACAAGCATCAATCATTATCAAAAGCTCCATGAGATTCTCATTTGCTGGAGGACATGTGGGTTGCACCAGATATACATCACACCCTCTAACACTCTCTTGCAACTGAACATAGATTTCACCATCGGCAAACCGTTTTATCTTGATCTTTCCCAGCTCCAGGCCCATGTAGCATGCAATTTCCTGCAAGGATGAAATAATGCATTAGAGGAAATAAATCCACAACATTCTCAGCATCTTATGACAATAATGCTTCAAAAAGAAAGAAAGAAAGGAAGGAAGGAACAAAGGAGATCCCCCTGAAATGTAACAAGTTTTCTTCAGATAGATTCCAATACAATTAGGATAGCAAGGATTTGCAAACCAAATGCAGCACTAATAGAGGAGGCATGCACGACAAAATCTACGTAACCCAAAGTTCCATTGAAATGACTTGGCCTATTGGGTAACCTCTACACAAATAAACAGTAAAGAAATAAATATTTATTTTTCTACATCATAAAACAGGAGAGTTTCTCAAGTTCTATCGAGTGATTAAACTTAAAGGTGTTAAATGAAACATGAGAAAACCTAATTTCAGATTCTTCAATTAACTACAACTTTGAATCAAAACCAATAAATGACTGACAAAATAAAAACCAGCACTTTTCCAATTAAAGAGAAAATTCCTATATGTTGACCAGCGCCTAAGGTCAAATTAGAGCCAACTCATCTATTCATGCATGTTATACTCATGAGGTTAGTGATGAAGAAGTTTCCTTGTGACAGTGAAACTGCTTAAAAGTTGAATAGACAACTGGCATACATAAAGTTCAGCATATAGAATCAAAACTAACCAGTTCAACACTAAATAAGTGAAAAAGGACAAGCAAAGATCCTCACCCACATGAGTGAATTATACCAACTTCTTTTGATCATGAACAAATTTTTCCAAATTCACATATTAAGTCAATTGAATATATAGCATGAAGCTTAGTAAGAAGCAAAGAAACAGTAATGGAGCTAATATTTCTATCAAAACAAGCTTGCTCTCCAAGGCAAACAGTCATAGATCTAATAGAACTCAGCCAACTTATAATCAAACTCAAATCAAAGTGGTGTTAACCATATATTTCTCTATGGGAACTCCCAGCTACATGTTTTCTAGAACAACTATTTAGGTTCTACACTCTTGAGGCCGACTATCAAAAACTTTCATCAACAGCCACCTAAAATCTGAGATCTAAGAACATATTCCCAAAGCATTTTTCAGAGCTTGTATATATTGCTAAAGGTGAAAATCGYTTAAATCACAGCAACTTAATTTGCCTTCAAGGGGATATTAGCAGCGGTCAACTAAAGGGAGTTGAGATATTTTAACTAGAACATGATCTAATCCCCTTTTTTATCTCAAGGTGCTCAACTGAAATAGCATGCACAATCCAACGTGGGAGCCAGTTAAGTTCTTCTCAAGAATCTAATCATCTTTTATTTGCATGATTTTGATGATCAAGTTAATCTTTTAAATTAGAAAGTGTTATTACTAAAAATTGAAAAACAAAATATATCCTCTATACAAACAAAACCGACTTGCGTATGCTACGATAGGAAGTTGCTAAAAGAGAAATGCACACATGTACAGTATTTGCAAATTAGAATACATCTATATTTTCGAAATAGCATCTATATTCTAAAAACAACAAAAAAGTAGGAAGACTTACCTGAGAAAGAGAAGGATTAGCTGTGCCTGAGAAAATGCGCAGCCTGGTATCGTTTTTGTTCGTCAAGCTTTCTGCGTACCTTGAAGTCAAGAAACTGGACATGGTTTGGTCATTGAGCACCGGAATACATGGTTTTCCATTGTTAAACTTTAATGGCTCCACCAGATTACATCTCTTGACAAATAAAACCAATATAAATTAGAAGAATAGTTTTTTTTTCTAAAGAAACTTGGTAAATTGAAAAATAGCTTCTAACCAGAGATAATTTCCTAGCGCACAATAAGCCATTCCATCAATATAATTTGGACATTCTGAAAGTAACAGCAAAAGAAAAATGACATTACATGCATGCCTAAAGTTTTGGAGTTGACATGGCGATTCTAAAATCGACCTCAGAATTATTTTTCATATCATGAAAACAGAAATTAAAGTCTTATAGTGAGTTTCAAAACAGAATTACAGCTTCAGACCAAAAAAAACAGACACGAAAACTAGCCAAATGAGAAACCGGAGAAAAAAGTCGAAATTTGCGTCAACTGAATGTTGGAAAAATAGAACCTACAACTGAACTCTTTCACAATTAACAGGAAGAAGAATAAAGTAGTACTATTAGTAAAACTAACCACGCCACTTCGAGCAGGAATCCGAAAACAAGGCTCAACGGAATGGGAAGTTCCACGGCGTAGAGAGGAACGAGATACCAGAGCCGAAGAAGAGAAAGGCAAGGAAGCCATTTCCGCTTCTGAGAAGATATGGAAGTTGAGACTTAGGGTTGGGGTTTGATAAGTCTACAAGCGGCGCTTCGAGCTTCAGTTGTGGTTCCCAGTCAGAGGGAAGAAACGAAGAGCGAATWCAGAGGAGGGGCTTCCACTTATTTATAGGACTTGCATATAAATAAATAAATATAAAGAAAAATTAACAAAAAAAATTATACCAAAGAATTTTAGAAAAATAACTGGRGAACAGGAAAAGATGGAAATCCACAATCTTGTTGACGGAAAGTGCCATTCGTCACTTTTGTGTGACTCTCATTACTTTTGCCACGTGGCATTATATTCTCCAAGGATAATAGATCGTAGTACATTTGGACCTTTTTGTAATTTATGCAGGTAGCGGGGACGTATTCTAAGGAAGACTGAACCGAGCAGACATAGAGAGTAAAGCAAATTGAGTAAAGCAATGTCTAAAATTCAAATATTTTTAAATTGAAAATATAATTAAAAAGGGGAAAAAAGCTTTAAACCTCTTACATCTTCTCTAGTTTTATTATTTTCAATAGACTTARCCTCTATATTAATGCCCCGTTTGGTGCATTTTTTGTGCAATCTGTTGGTTTTTTAGAAATCCATTAGTTTGCGTTTTGGTTTTTTCCCATTTGATTGGGAAAATATTTAATTGTCAAAAGTCACAGTGCCAAAAAATGTGAGAAACCCACTTCGGGCAATTTTTGAGAAACTTTAAATGAAGTTTTTTGTCTTTTTTCAATTCGTTTTATGCGAAAAAACCTGCCTTAATCAAACGGTCTTCAAACTGCTAAGATCTTAATATAAAAGCTCACATCATCTTTTGATTGTCAAATCTACCAAAAGATCTTCTAAAAAAGACTTGCCAAATGGTACTTAAATAAAGAGGCATTTGGTATCTTGGATCATTGGAAGAATGGCGGATGAATCATGCATGACTAATTTTAGTTCATGCCACATCATTCTATGGTGTTATTGGAGACGGTAGTATAAATTAATTCACACTAGTGTAGATTGGTCCACATTATATTGCAATTTTTCATCTAACACTTAAATACCATGTAGCAATCCACACCATAATATATTCAAACATTTTTACAAAGTTTTGCAAGATTTTTTTTTTTTTTGTTTTTGAGAAAAGAAAACCCTCCTAATTAGTTACCACTTTTATGATGCCAGTTAATTGGTTTTAAATTTTGCTATGCCTTTCTGGCATTCAAGTCGAACCCGGTTCAACTATTATACCATAGTGGAGCCTAGTGAATCAATCCACATCACACAATTTCTTGTCTATAATACTGAACATCCTTAAGATGCTATTATATTTGACAATCAATGAAAAGACCACTCATATAAAACCTTAATTGTGAGAAGAATAGATAGGTGAGCTAGCAATTTGGTTTTCTCTCACTCTTGGTTTTGTAGATCTATCTCACCTTGTCTGCTCTCCTTTGGTTTTCAATCTTGAAAGGAAAATCATAGCATATCATATTCATCGTCGATAAAATCTCTGAAGGCTTTCATTTCATTCACCAAAGATGGAAACTTACCACCAAGGAATGGGTGATTGTGAGGACTAAGGAGGTTGACATCTTGACGAGATGATAGTGAGGAGCAATGTCGATTGTGATAGACAGATCTTCTTGTTTGAACTGTGGACTTGTTCAGAAACATTGGGCTTCAGTTTTATTTATTTTTTTGTTCTTTTGGGAGTGTTAATTATTTGATTTTTTTTCCTTAATAACGGAGGGAGATACTATTTGTTTAATGACGTAATAGAAGGGTTAAGTGTGTTAAATAGAGGCCAGGTTTCAGTATTTGATTAAGCTTTTAATAAAGTTCTTTATATTTTTTGCTCCAAATTAAAATTATACACACATTTTCTTTATTACATTTATTCCGTACACGTATTTACCAAGTATGCTATGGAGACGACTTGGGCAAGGTAGATTCTAATCGCCTGAATCGTGCTTGTCCAGTGATTGTACCCATCAAAGAGATGTTGAATGGAAAAAGGAAAAAAGATGAGTGATTAAGACTGGGTGATCATGACCGTCCAAGTTGTTGTTTGGCTAGGACCTATCGGGTAGAGGCCCCACTATGCATAAATCACTGTGAAAGCAATCATAGAAGTTGCCACCTGTCACTTGATATAGCTTTTCTGAATGCCAATGGTCAATTGAGGGCTTTCCCACTTGTGGCATGCATTCGTGTATACATTACAAGAACAGTAAAAGGCTAAAAGCCACCTATCACTTGATAGCAAAAGCAATTAAGTTGGCCAACCATTACCTCAAGAGGATAACCACAACTTGTGCGTTTTGTTTTAGACTGTATTATTTTGAAACAGAGATATCATGCTAATCTTTGAGCCAATAAGTGGAGCCCAAGCGCCAAGAATCCAAGATTGGGTTGATAGATAGACTTGGCTTCAATCTTGAGCTGCACACAATAGCTGCTTAGGGAGTTATAAATCCAATGATAATACTCTACGTCAATCATAATATATAAATATATATATATATAGGACCTACAATCATTCAACTAGGTTCTATATATTTTATAACATGTGGAAGGCGTTATTATGAGTTCCACAGCCCATTACACAGCCATGGCGTTCAATTAATTCGAAATAGAAAGACTTGGGTTTCAATTCAATCCACGGCAAGGAAAGGAAAGTAAAGCAAAAACAAGGAGAGTAATTCCATGAGGAATTCTTGTTTTGAGTGTTGATTGCGACTTCATTCCACCCTCCATGATCCACACGTCAAGGGCGGTGGCGTAGATTCTCTCGTCACTCCATCCTCGTTCTCATGCGGTGGAAATGCCATTGACCGCCACCACCATATTTTAAGTTTGGCCAGTGCTGGCCTCACAGGCTCACATCAAAACCAAAGCTTTTGGTTCTCAATGGTCTGTCGAGTGTAGACCGGAGACTTTTATCCCCATATCACTCATTGGGGAGTCCAGGCATCTTATTCTTGGAAAAGAATGGAGATCCTTGGTCGTCACAGTTATTAGTTAACCTCTTGGCTCTTGCTAGGGTTGCCGGCCTCAACATGAACTTATCCAACCCAAACCGCTTTTATGCTCGGCCGGGTTTGGTTTTCATTTGTCAGATTGGTGGAGGGATCGAACTTAACCACTAATCAATCCAATTTAAAATCACCTTGGCTCGCCCGAAACCGGAATCATAGGCTACTACTATGTTTGCATGAAAGAACTACAACATCCCAGAACAAGAGTTGAGATTGGGTTGAAGTTGAACCACCCAGAGCCGGAATATTCATTTCAATCAACTGACCCAAGGGCCCAAATTTTCAGAAAACTTTGGTTTTGTTCTTCCCAGTCCCAGGTAAAGCTCCCAACGTTGACAAAAACTGGAAACAGTATCCAATGACAAACTCTGCCCCATTCTTATCCTCAAAGGTCTCTGATAAAAGAAATCCTCGTTTAAAATCAAAATAATATGTATCAGTATATGATCGAATTCCTCATTCAAAACGTTGTTTCTGTTTAACTTAAAGACAACCCATCCGTGTTTGAACTTCTGATCTAGACTCTTACCTTGCGTCTTTTTGTGAAATGTGAATGTTGGACAAGTTATCGTGTTTCTTTAGAATTAGCTATCCGCTCTGCCTATTGAACATGTATCACTTTCTTCTTCACTGTAGTCGTTAAAGTCTAAAGATAACCCACCATTTGAAGTTGTTGCCCTAATCTTCCTTCACCAGGCAAGTGGGCATGTGCCGAAAGGAATCCCTTACTGAGCTCTACTTTACCTTTTTGTCCTATACACCAATTACGACACGGGTGATGGTGAGCTTTGTGTTGCTTCTCAACTCGTACGTGCTAGGTGCTACTCTCAATCAATTTGTTTTCAGAGAAATCTCACAGAAGGATAAAACTATGGGTTAATATTTTGTCCCATTTTAAGCAGGCTCACTTCTCTAATCTTACTMATTTTTACAAACTTGATAGTCTAAAATATGATAATCTGTAACCAAATATTTAATGCCCATTCCAACATATGGTGATGACTGATGAGAAGGGTGGATAATGCAAATGCTAAAGCCCATCTCGGATGAATTATAGAAGGCAATATACCAGTCAAACATCACAACTGAGTACTTGCTAAATATCATGTTTGCTTTCTGAATTCTCTTCCAAAAGTACACCCCATAATAAGGTCGTAAATTGTAACATATCAGCAAGGTGCCTCTAAATGTTTATCTGCTAGCTCTCATTCCTGAAATGCAAGCACAAAACGCATCTGTGAATAGTCACCAAAGCCACAACTTGTTCTTATATGCAATCGTTGGTAATGGATTTGAAAATGTTTTGTTTATAAATGTTCAAAATTTTACAGCATACACATTCAGAGAGAGAGAGAGAGTTAAGCTGGGACCGATGAGCTAAGCTTGCTTACCTCCTGGGACTGATGAGCTTGAAAAACAGAGTTAAGTTGGGAGCTTTCCATGTTAGAAAGCAACTGAACTACAGTGTTCAGATATGGGACACTGAAACAAAACCAATAGAACATGAAATCAGGGGAGAAATTTTAGCAGAAAGAGTAAAGGACCAAAACGCACTGGAATCAGCCAGTGGATGGGCATCTGAATTTTATAGTCAAATTGTGTTTCTTAGATAATGGAACAACAGTATTACATGTCACATATTGGGTCTGGAAAATCTTTGTGCTAATAAATCAAACCATTTTAATATTTTATCCACTGATTCTGACAATACTCTGCCCTGTATTCTTTTGTCTTTCATCCCTTTGTCTTTCTAATGCACCAAAAAAAGGACACGAGTCAAGATGTAAATCAGTCCTTTAATATCAAGTTTAAATTCAGTGATTAGCAGAATAAAACAGGTCTGAATAACTGTATAAGAGAAGAAGATAGCAAAGAGGTAAGAGAAGGAGTCGAATTAATTCTCCATTCTCCTCTAACCCTATTTTATTAAGATCTAAAAAATTAATGATGACAAGTATGCCCTTAAGTGGGCGGCCARCTTGGCAGTTACATAAAAGAAATAAACAAGAATAAATAACAGGCCCATTAAGTGTGGCCCATCAACATAAAATAAAAGATAAAATAAAAGATATCACATGAGAGGCTGTTAGGGCCCATTCGGCCCAGTCTCTTTACACTCCCCCTCAAGCTGAGCATAGATGTCAATCATGCCCAGCTTGCTTATATAGTGTGTCAATTTCCCCCTKGGAACTCCCTTGGTCAAGATATCAGCCAGTTGCTCTTCTGATGTGATGAATGGTAAACAAACTTCTCCTGAAGAGACTCTTTCTCTTATGAAATGCCTATCAACCTCAATGTGCTTAGTTCTGTCATGTTGAACAGGATTATGTGCAATGTTGATAGCAGCTTGGTTGTCACAATAGAGCATCATTTGTTTCTCATAGTTCACCCCCAATTCCTCTAGAAGGGATCGTAGCCATAGTAATTCTGACACACCATGAGCCATTGCCCTGTATTCTGCTTCAGCTGAGGATCTAGCAACTACTGATTGTTTCTTACTCCTCCAAGACACAATATTCCCAGCAACCAGAGCACAATAACCAGAGGTGGACCTTCTGTCATCAATACATCCTGCCTAATCTGCATAGGAAATATCTGGCCGAGTCATGCAAAGGTATAACAACTTCCCAAGCCAAAAGTTTCAAGATAGGTGGAAGGGTTCTCTCAAAATACTCCTTAACATTGTTGGAGCGGAATATTTTGATACAAGTATTAAATTGGGTGAGGATGAGTTCATGAAAATTTTTCACAATAGCTGGTACTTCATCCTTGGATTTCATGAGATAAATCCAAGTGTAACATGAATAATCATCAATAAAAATGATAAAATACCTGTAACCCCCCATGGTTGGCATGTGATATGGCCCCCACACATCAGAGTGAACAATATGGAAAGGAGAAAGTGATCTTTTATTGCTAATTGAATATGAATGTCTACAATGCTTTGCCAGCTCACATGATTCACAATGAAGACTCGATAAAGACGCTCCTTTAAACATATCTAGGAACAGATGACTCAAAGCAGAAAAAGACAAGTGACCAAACCAAAAATGACATAATAAAATTTTGTTAACAGACCCTGACACGATTGACTCTAAGGAAACTCCATGAGGTGGTCCCAAAGCTTGATCTGGTGTGTCCAACAAGTATATTCCGTTCGCCTCATGGCCACTCCCAATCATCCTCTGAGACTACAAGTCCTGAATAACACAATGAGTGGGAAAGAAAGTTATGCTGCAATTCATGGACTTTGTTAAGCTACTAACAGATAAGAGGTTTGTGTTAAGCTTAGGGACATGAAGAACAGAAGATAAGAACAGGGTGTCTAAGGTCTTTATATCACCTTTACTAGAGATGGAGGCAAGGGACCCATCGGCAAGGGATATTTTCTCTTTCCCAGAGAGGTGATATGAGCAAAAAAGGTTAGATAGACTAGTCATATGGTCTGATGCACCGGAATCGATAATCCAAGGGATTTTATGATTACCTGAAGCTGAAGCGTGATTTGCAGAAGCACAAGTACCTGAGTAAGCAAAAGCCAATGAGGATGATGTACTGTTGGAAGGGTGAGCTGAAGAAACTGTAGCTTCCAGGTGATTTATGAGTCTCCCATACTCCTCAAAATCCAGCTTCATTGCAGCCAACTGTTGTTCAATGGTTGATTTATCTTCACTCTCCTTACTTCCCCCTTCAGGTACTGTAGCAGCATTAGCAGTCTTGGGTTTTCCTACCTGACTGCCCTTCTTAGGGTTATTATTGTTCTTAAACCTATCAAGGAGAAGTCCAGGATGAAGCTTCCAGCAGGTGTCCTTTGTATGTTGTGGTTTCTTGCAATATTCACACACTTGTTCTCTCTTCTCAGTAGGGCCCTTTGGTTTCATTCCCACATGTGCAAAATGTTCTGTAGGTGGACTCTGCAACCGAACATGCCGCCTACTCTCCTCACTACTTATCATAGCATATGCCTGTGAAAGAGTAACCTCATCCCTGGCCAAAATATTCTGTCTGATAATATCAAACTCAGGGTTGAGTCCAGTGAGAAACTCAAACACCCTATTTCTCTCCACCAGCTTTCTATACATTTCAGCATCATTTTTACTCTCCCATACCACTGCCTCCATAACATCAATTTCCTGCCATAGGGATTTTAGTATAGAGTAGTAGATTGCCACACTCTTCCCCCCTGTCTCAGGTTTTTCACATCATTTTTCAATTTGTACGCTTTGGCTACATTCAGTTTCTGTGAGTAGGTCTCAGTTACACTGTCCCATATCTCCTTGGCCGAAGACATCCAAAGATAGTGCTGGCTTATATGGGGTTGAATAGAGTTAACCAACCATCCTATAACAATGTAGTTCTCTTGCATTCATTTTTCAAATTCAGGGTCTGTCTCTTCGGGTTTCACCTTTCTGCCTGTGAGATACCCGAGTTTTCCTCTACTACAAACATAGATTTTTATAGACTGTGCCCAAGCAAGATAGTTCGTCCCATCTCGCTTAATTGTGGTCACACTAGTCAAAACGAAATCTACTGAGGCAGGTCCAAAAACCGGCACCTGCTTGAACTCACTTCCGTATGTCTCCATTAATCAAACGGAAATCAAAGAACAAAAAATTTTGACTATGTAAACTTACTTGAAGCCAAACCAAAACTTGGGTGC